AGTATTAGGAAAATCTGAAAAAGTTATCTTGTTTTATAAGGGGAAAAAGTTCTCCAGATTTCCAGGCATTCCTAATTAAAGATAATGGAGGAAAAAGGCAATAATTTTAAGAAGCACTAGTCGGTGACTCCCATCACATGAATAATGCAAGCTATAGGGAGCTGTGTTCTTTGTGGTCGGAGTTTCTTCTGTGATCATTCAATCGTCATTCCAGTATTTCTGCTTCCTTCCATTAAACTTTTTTGAAGAAAAAAAAGAGGGCTGCCAAAATGGTAATTTGGGTTAATTCTGTGGCTATATCCATCCCAAATCTCTCTCAGTCTTCCCAGACACTTGTTGAACTGACTTGTTTTACCTATTCTTTCAGTGTGCTTTTATAGCTCATGGCAAACTGATGAGATTTGGCCGCACCTGTATAACTGAGAAAAGCTGTACTTTGGTTCTACTCTAGCAAAATTATTCATTGTTGATAATGCAGTGGATACCCTGAACATTAGCTGCAACTAACCCTCACTTAAAGGAACTTTGTAAGTGTTTGTGCTTTCATATAGTTCGGATCACTCCCTGATTAGTAAAGATCATTATCCTTAAAAGGGAATAAAAGGAAATCTGTAATTTCTAGTAATATTTTCTCTTTTAACCATGTTGCAGAAGAAGGGAGAGTGGATTGTTGTAATAATTTACAGGTTTGTTTTAAGGACGATTTATTTGCAAATACTGAGTTGTCCTTCCAGAATACATCCCAGTTTCTGGTTTACTAATTTTTGCCTGTTCGTGGTTTGCATTCCAGCTATTCCTGTCGCTAGCTAATTTCCCCCATCTGTTGCTGAATTTTCACATAAACCTCTTTCTTTAGCATATGTTTGTTTAATCTTTATTCCTGGCTTCTGCCTTTTTAAAACGTTTAATTTGACCCTTGATGGCAAAACTATCTATTCCTCCCTGTCAAATGTTCCATGTGCCTTAATTACTGTTATCCTTCTGTAATCGTAAAAAGGTTAATCTCATGATATTTCAGTGAATGTTGAAGATAATGATGGTTCGGTTTTGTAGAGATATTTTTTCTCTTTAAAATGAGTGTATATTTGTTTTAATGAACTCATTCTGACTATATTTTACCAAATGGATTTTAAACTGCTACAGATTGTGTTTGCTTAAAAAATGTACAGTTCAAGAGTGAGCTAATAATCTCACTTATTTAATGTCAGGATGACATTAAATAATGTTGATTCCTATAGCAGTATAATATAACTTTGCATCCTTTCCCCCTTAGGGTCAAAAAACACTTTAAAACCATTAATTATCTCAGTCTGCAAAACACTCATAGGAAGTAAATGAATATTTATTCCCACGTGACAAGTGAGAACATGGAGTCATAAAAAGGATGTAGCTAATTCTTTTTTTTTTTTAAAGCCACTGAATTTTCAAGCACCCAAACTGAAACATGCTGGGCCTGATACTCAGAGCTGTTGAGCACCCATAGCTCATTGATTTCAGAAAATGCTGCATATGTTCAACAGTTTTGAAAACAAGGACCAAGATATCTAGCACAAATAAAACTGAACCTGCTTGACATACGTGGTAACTGTGGAAGATTTTGGATTTGGAAACATGATATACAAAAAAAATCTATGATAGTTTAAGGAAAAACTCCTAACACCCCCTACTCCCTACCCGCTATGCACACCTCAGGCACAAATCGTAGAAAAGTGTTTGATCAAGTCTTTTTTACTTTTTTACTCAAAAAGGACAAAACTTCCCCTTTCAAATACGTAGTAAACAGAAAAGGCTCCCAACTTCTGAGCTGTTATTTTAAGAGAGTCAAAAGGGTGAGTCAGCAATGGTGAGAGAGGTTTTTACAAAATAAGGAAAAAGATTATTAGGCTGAAAAAAACCCCAAACAGCCGCATATCGATGGAGGACCAAGAGAAACTAGGATGACCTGTAAATCTTGAGTTACTTTCTATTGTCCTGGCAGCAGGTCTTCTCTGACCGACACAGAAGGTGACTGGCCATGCTTCTGTTAGTGAAGAAAGTAAAGGGTTTGTTTTTTTTTCGTGGAGTTATCATAGATCCCCTGGGGTATATATATGAAAGACTAATGGCAAATAGAAAAGATCTACTGGATCATGAAGTCTTTTCTCCTTTTTTGAGCCGTTCAACAAAGCGCTTAAGCACGTACTTAAGTCCCACGCAGTTAAGCGCTTTGTTGTAACACAGACTTCATTCACAGGCAAGAGGTACGTTTCACCCAAAAGACAAAAAGTGAGGCGTACATCTTCAGCAATTGCCCCTGTACAATTTACATCGCAAATAAAACTGCGAGTATTCCGGAATAAATCTCTCTTTTAGATGTAGTGACCCTCACGTATTTAAATCAAGTCAAACAGGATGAAATCAGATGAAAGCCTTCAAAGACCCGGATTTTCTTTCCCCGTTCATTTTTTGTGGTTTGGAGGTTATTTTAGTAGGTTTACGAATATGACACTCTTCTTTCTGTTTCTTAAAAGTCTCTTATGTCTGATCTACATGGTGACATCTAAAGTGCTCGAGGGAGCCAGTTACACAACTGTAGCCCTACACGTGACTATAACACGGGGCGACCTGGCGGAGGTGGGATTGAGAAGCGATGGTCTCGAGCCCGTGATTCAAGACCCCGGCTCATTCCAGCGCACAACGTGAGGCTGAACTTTGTTTTAAGTGTATCCAAGGACGGCTGCGTTGTAGCTGCGTGCCTCCGTGCCACCGATGTGCAGGGTCTCGTTGGGATTCGTAAAACACGGCTTTGAACGCTGGTTGCTTCTGTAAAAAGATATAGACTAGATGCCCTATGATTTGTCCAGCTACTTTGTCTTCAGTGGCAAGGTTTCTTGTCTGTTGGTTTCAGGCAAAGAACAAACTAACCAGTGCAAAATCCCTCCGTGGATGCTTAAGTCATTTCCTTGGCGAGGAAATCAAATACGAATGAACCCCTTAAGTGCGCGCACAGTTCAGCCCTGCAGCTCTTGCTCGGTGTAAAACTCACATAGTCGAGCGCAGCTTTGCCTGAGAAAGCGCCAAATATGGCCCCACAATGAACGAGCAGTTTCTTTTCCTTATTTCTCTGCCGGGCAGAGGCTTCAGCGGTGGCTCCCCCTGGACTGCGGGGATGGAGTGTCTGGATCGAGGCCGGGACAATCTAACTTCTTGGAAGAGGGTCGGACACGTTACTAAAGTCTCGCTGGAAATTGACTAAAATCCCCCCCGGAAATTGACAGGAACGGATTGAAATCGCAGCTGGCTCAGAGAGGCGGTGTGGGGTTTAAGGCAGGTGGAAACAGGCTCCTTCTTATGTCTCCCCGCCGGAGGTAGGATCCAGCTCCTAAAGCAGAGCAGGGAGCTGTCTTCCTCAACCTGCTCTGGGGAGGGGGAGAGGGGATCAGGTTGAGAAGCGGGGGGAAAAAATCCCAGAGCTAGGGTTTAACAGATGGGGAAAGGAGAATGTACGAGGCAAATCTTTTGTTCGCCGCCTGCACTCGTGGTGTCAATCTTTGTTCTTCCAGTCATTTACCATGTCTGTCTGTCGGTCTTAAAGGCAAGAAAAGGGCGGGGGGGGAGGGATCAGCTCGCTCCCATGTCAGAGCCTGAGTCTAGATTTGTGTGCTCCCCTGCTTTGCTCTAGCTGGGCGCTAACAGCGCTCCTCTGCCGCGTGAGGAAGGACTCTCTTCTCCTGTTCCTCACCCCTGGCCACTTTGGTGCTGAATAGCGGAGGAGGCGAGGCTCTGCGCTTCGTCCTTCTCCAGCCCCGCAACCCGCTGCGTGGTACAGGGCTGCTCCCTCCTGCTGCCCGGAGCCGACCCGGAGCGCCAGTGGCAGAGCCAGCTGCCCTCCATCCTCCGCGGGGGGTTACAGGGATGAGGAGCTGAGGGGTGCTCAGACTCCCTTTCAACCCAGACGGCAGAGAGCTGGGCGCATGGGAGCCGGGAGGAGGGCGGGCAGGGAAGCGATGAGGAGGCTTCACCAGGCTTGCCCCGCGCCGGAGTGGCGCCCCCCGCTCCGTGGAGAGCTGA